TCAAACCAGAATCGATGTAGAACAAGGAGTCTGAGATGATTGCAAGCATCTCCGATGAACACGATGAACACGGGATGAACACTGGAGGTAGACGATGAACATTGGATGAACACTGGAGGTACACGATGAACACGAGAGAAAATAGGGTTGGATGACCTTTTTGGTAATTTTACATCTATAAGCAAAATTTGCCAAACACTAAAAAAACAACTTATCAGCTTATTGCAGTTTGGTACCGCTATAAGCTAATCCAAACACTTTTTACAAAACTCCAGTTTGATACCGCATAAGTTAATAAGCACTTTTACAAAAAAACATAAGTTGTTTTAAATAAGCTTACCCAAACACCCCCCTACACTGAATTATAAAACATTTGATAAAAAAAATTAAAAATTATTTTTTATACGTAAAATTACAAGTAGATTGTATATAAGTACAACTTATTAAAGTTTTATATCTAAATTCGTGTAACTAACTGCAGATAAACATAATCAAATACAGGATAAACATCTCATTTTAAATATAAAAAATCTAAAAATATAATTAGGATAATCTTTGAGTTCTAACAGAATACTTGATTATTATCTTTATAAAATGTTATATTATTAAACCAAAAATAAATTATTTCGTTATTAAACTTAAATTAAATTATATAAAAAAATAAAAAAAATTATATAAAAAAATGAGAACTTTAAAATAGTTGATTTGATATTAACATTGATATATTTTTTTTCAAAATTTTATGATATCTTCAAATTTATATTTTATTCAAAAATAATATATTTATTGTTTTCTTAAAAACACATAAAATCGTATTATAACATCGACAGAGATAAATAACAAAATAAAACATTAAAATCGAGATGTGTCTCGCTGCATTACACGAGTACTATTCTAGTCTATATTTATACTACGCATACTTAACATGTTTTAAAACAACATTATTTTTAATCTCTAAGGCCCTGTTTTGTTTTTCAAAAAAAAGCATTTAATTGCCTCTTATGTCTGAATCGGTCAGACATTGAGGGATTAAGTGCGTTTGTTTTTTTTTTAAATTAAGTGCTTAAAACATCTGAATAGGTCTGATTTATTTAGAGGTAAACTAAAGTCTGAAAACCTCTTAAACGCGTCGCCTTCGCCTACTGCATATGCTCCCTCTCCATCGCGATCACAAGATTGCTCTCGATCTCTCTCTCAAGCTCTACATCGCCTTCGCCTACTGCATACGCGTCGCCTACCCGATCTCTCTCTCAAGCTCTCCATCGCTGCGCATCGCCTACCGTCGCCTACCTCTCRATCCTTGCGTCGCCTACCGTCTTCTACCTCTCGATCTCTCGATTTAAGGTATCCATCTCGATCTCTCAAGCTCTCGATTTTGTTTCTCCTTGCTTGGTTGATTTCTGTTTTTCCTGGTTCATCTATTGTGAAGGTAATCGCATCACCCACAGTTCAAATCCTATAAGGGGTTTTTGTATTATTTCTGTCTTGGTTAATTTCTCGAAACTTTAGTGAAAATCCAGGTTTGTAGTTCGAAACTACTGTCTTGGTTAATAGTACAAAAGTTTTTCTGTTGATCAATCTTTTCTTGAAAAGTTTGAAGATTACATATGTTGAATAAACTTGAGTAGTATCTCCTCTTCAAATTATGTTCATTTCAGACCTTCTTTTGTGATATCAGTTGGGTTCTATCGTGTTTCATTTCCACTTCTGGTCTGCTTTGGCCTATGCTATACTACACTGATCAATGGTCTAGCAGACCTTGAAGCAGCATTGTGTTTGTGCACAGCAATTARGGCTAATGTGTTTGGTATGCTTTGGCCTATGCTATACTACATTGATCAAGTCATGTTTCTGTATTTTTCTACCAAAGGAAAAGCGTGCTTTTCAAACCATGGCTTATCTTATTCATTAGAAGATGCATTTGGGCATTGTTGGATACATGTTGATGGTTTAGAATGTAAGGTTGTGCATAAATACTTGGAACAATTGGATAAAGATGCAATTGGCAAATTTTCTTGCCAATTGGCTTATCTTATTCATTAGAAGATGCAATTAGCAAATTTTCTTGATCATGTTTCCTTATGTGTTTTTGTTGAGTAGTTTTGCGTGTTGGAAATCATAATAAGGGGTTTTGGCAATGTGGGCAAGAATTTGATGGGGTTTTAGCAGCTGTAGTTATTGTATGTTATTTGATTTCAAACCCAACAACAACAGCTGCTGTTTGGTCGTAGTTGACGGAGAAGCTGCTGTTTATGTTGTTTGGCCGCGCGCAGAGGGACTGTTTGGCTCACGAAGAAGCAGTCGGTAGAAGCAGCAAACAGCTGCTGTTTGGTCGCGCATCGGACGGGAACGGTTGCTGTTTGGCAGCTGCCATTTGGTCGCACATCAGACGGAAACGAGCTGTTGTTTTGGCTTGTGCAGCAGCGGGAGATCAGGCAGCGAGTAGCTGCTGTTTACTCGTGCAGCAGACGGAAGAAAAGCAGCAAAGCAGCTGCTGATTGGTCGTGCTGCAGACGGAAAACAAGATGAATATTGATTCTAGTTTAAGAGAAGAAATTGCGACACAATTACAAAATGAATATCGATTCTAGTTGTTATGAGACTTTATTCGTGTTTTCTATTGTGT